GTCAAATAATCTTGGTGAATTATTTTAAGCTACCGTATGAATATCGCTGATGAAGAAATTAGTTTGAGAATGTAGTGTTCTGTTCATGTTTACCTTACAAGTGCATATCGGCAGCACAATAGACCCCAAGTAATAAGGTTCATCTTAACTCTCGTTGTAATGGTATTTATTGCCAATACCATATTGTAAATAGTTGTTCAGAGTATGCCATGTTAAGCCAGACTGCCAGTTAGTGGCACCTGTGCTGACAAACACAATTCAGGTAGACTACTATCCTTTCTCCTCAGTAGCCGTGAATTCTCTTGGACCACTCACATATCCACAAAGGAGGTATTTAGGCGTACTGGTATGATTTCCAGAGACCTAAGGAATGAACCAGACCAGGAGGGTTTCAGGTGTACTGTTGTAAGTCCTGGTAACCAATTCAGCAGCATTTAGGAATCTAATCTGTGTATGCCTGACGTATTCATTCGTTTGTATAGACATTAAATGCGCTTATCTTATTCATGAATTTCTTCTCTCGACTTGGACAGGTTACATAATAACTATTGGGAAAAGAAACTAATGTTCCTTTGGGAGATGTTTGCCGAATATTGTACTGTCAAATACTAAAAAAGTACTTAATACACCATTTTCCAATTTTATGAAGATTAGGGAGTTTTGGGATTTATCTAGACTGTTGTATACTTTTATTGTGAATGCACAATTTTGTTAACCGTCAATCATTTGTACAGACATTTTGCTCTTCGTGTTTGGACGCCAGATAACCTCAAAACTGAAGACGTGCATCACGACCGCTTGAAACAGAACAACTCTGCAATGTCTTCAACATTTCGATTTCTAATACAGCTGTATTTAGAACGTTATCTTTTTTGGATTAAATCTTTGGTTGAAGTCTGCAATTTCATATCTTTACTGAAAGTTTTTCATGCAATGGCTGCAACATACAGTTATGTCCTCTGAGCTGAGCGATTTAATTCCGAAGCTCCAATTATCTTTACGGATAGCATCTTCAGTGTGCAGTTAAATCAACAGATGCTATGATATATCTGAGGTTTAAGGCATCAGATCCCGCGAATTCAATTCAGAAGTTGAAGTATGGCACTCATGTCTTTATGCGACGGAACAATACTGAAAAATTGCTACAAACTCATTAGGATGGCTCGTTTAAGTTAATGAGTGGAACAGGAGAGGTTATCTCCATTTAACCGAATGGAAGACATAAGAATGCTGATATAGTTGACTGATATAAAGCCAACTTTCATCGAAACAAAGGTGAACGGTTGCATGACGAAATCATCGGCAAACCGAAAAATGTATCAGATGGCTATATTGCGCTATGACAATGAAATCAGATGTTTCTCCAGCTACAAGCACAACGAATCGAAAAACATTTACAGTCGTCATAATGGTACTTAGAGCAGTCACATTACTGCTTATCTATGAAAATCCTAGCTCGTAAATTATTCCGCTCAATTTTTAGGATATATAGTGAATTGAGATAGCGTTAGAAATGGATGAAAAAGAGTAATGCAATCAAGACCATCTTATCACAGATTCTTAGCAGAAAGTTGCTCAGGTCTTATCGTTTTGTCTTGTTTTTGTTTTCCACTGAGCCACTGAACCTGAGAAATACTATATATTACTAGCCCATTAGTCTAAGCATTCCATAAGCTGGAAGAAACTCTGAGCTATAGAACCACTACCATTGCTTCGGGACGTCAGCACTATCTTGATAATCATAATGCGTTTATTGTTATTTGAGTGTATCTCGGCAACCGTTCTCTTTCTTTAGACGTTCAGACATGTCAAGATGAAAACATTTAATGTGCCTCTCATTTAATATTTCCGGTGTATATTATGACCACTAAATCTTCATATCGGTGAGATTAATTACGATGAATAGGTGAAACTTAACCTGATTACAAATGCATATAATAGTATAAGAATAAAACTTGTGCACTGTGGTAGAGTATAATTATATTATGGGTAAGTTTTTGTTTTGATAAAGTCTCACAGTGTTATACAGTAATTTTTGCTGATGACGTTTCGAGCACAATTTAATGATAATCATAATCATAAAAAAGCTATGACGGAAACTAATAAGGCATAAACACAGGCCAGACAGTGGACGTCCATCAGTGCCCTGTGGTCTGATTAGCCGTTTACCTGTCTGGCACGTAGGCAATAATTTAATCGTACACTAGGCAACAACAAGTGTTTGCTGCTTCATATGATTACGTCTATAATAAGATAGCATTTCCACGCATACACTTACTAAGGTGTGCAAATGCCATATGTAACTAAATAGTAAACAACATTGTATCAAAATCACAAGTGAAATCTGAAGAGATATATTGTGAACGAAATCAAATTTCGTGGGGCGTGAGATATATGTATATATATGTAGCAGACGAAAACCTATGTTCACTAATACATTGACAAATATTCGACAAGCTTATGTAAAATTAGTTTTCGTAAACGTACAATATAGGTATATGAATCGGTAACGTGAGCGTGCAGTTAGAGTTAGTATAGGAGAGCTATACAATCCTCCATCAGAACAGTGAAGTATGACATAATACACTTAAGTATTCAAAAAGAATATGCTTTTGCGTAATACGCTGCAGCCATAATACACAAAATACGCGATTTAACCCGGAGTTTTGAAAGAATTTATGCATAGTTAATAATAATAATAATAAATTCACTAATGACGATAGAATCGAGAACTGAGATAGAAAATAGGCGGAATGATATAAAATCATCTGCCGATCCGTAGTCGTTGTATGAAAACGATATGTGAATGCTTAGAGTGCGGGTACGTCTGGTAGTGGAAATGCTACAGGCCAACGAGTGAGTCTAACGATTCAGGTGAAAATGTAGCTGAAACCACTGTAAGGAGGCAGTAGACCAACGACATCTATATGTATGTAGTCAAATCATGAGTCGCGGTCAGAAAAACGACTAAGTATTGGTGTGACGATGAATCCTGACTCTTTGAAAAAACAAACAATTTTGCATTCACTTCTTAGCATAGATTTTTTTTGGCTACATAAATCTTTCCGTCAGCAGCCTGGTACTAACACAAACTCCTGGTTGTTGGAGATAAGGCAGTTTCTCAAAAGTTGTGTGTCTCATAGCTCCTTCAACAAAAGACCGACACAAACTGGTAGATGTATCGGAAATTACTTTCGCTATGCCAAAAAGAATTTCGGTAAGTTCCAAGGACGTGATTTTAGAATCTGTAGTTCAGAATCACCTCTTTGTAAGGTTGCAACACATTCGTGATCGATATCGGGACGTACAAATTTATCTAGGTAAATTGACGAGACCCGAAAATTGTCACAATTTCCTGGAAGAGTTTCGCGGTGAATAATCCTCAGTGGATTGCACATCGCCAGAAACTGACTCGATTCCTTAGCTGTCGACAAAATGCCCGAGGAATGTGAATGAAGTCTTGCCAAATTCACTCTTATCTAAGTTGATGGTCATCACATACTGGCGTAGTCACTTAAATGCAGTCTTCATATGTCTCAAATAATCTGCCTCATCTGCACTTGCAATGGGTAATTCGTGGATGTGTGCATAGACGAAGGAGAGACCTCGGAATCTCTGATCGATAAGAGTTAAGATGTCTGGTTGGCTTTCATTAGTCCAAAAAGCATGCGAACAAATTCATATCAGCCTAATGGAGAGTATCTACTGCATGCCGTTTATTTGTTTAAAGCTCACTAATTACCCCACCGTCGCATTTCACCAGATATTTTGGGAGCCATGTGATGTGGTGAAGACCAAAAATTATTGGGTAGTCGGGTGACATCAAGTTCTACCATTCTAGCAAAGGAAATACTGACTTCTGAACCAGGTGTCGGGCTTTTCTGATGACATCTGGAATGTGAAGCAGGTTGCCATTGCTAGTAGCTTCGGTTGTCTCAGGCAGAATGGTTCCACACAGTCTTTGTATTCTTGTCAAAAACTGCAGGGTTTTCAGCCACCATCAGCTACTTGTCCACAGATACTGTGATACTGATACCAGTGTGGGTTCTTGGCTGAATATGGTTCAAATTTTAGACGACCTCAAGGCTCGTTACTTTGAAATGAGTTGCTAGAGCAGTTTACCGACGCTCTGGAGTCAGTCGAACTAAGAAGCCACTTGACAGAGTTGTTTAACTCTCTCGTTTCGAGTTTAACGTTAGGAATGTGTACATTCTGTGCCGGCCAGGGTGGAGACAAATCTCTAAAGAGTCCCTTGTCGAATTCGCATTGGCTTATGACTTATTGACACCACGTGTATACATGAATCATTACCTCAGTAGATATTGTTTAAGAGTTCGTCAGTACGTTGTTGACTGGAGAGGTCGTTACTATTGCCATTGCAAGGCTCTTGAAGGTTTCATGAATTACTGAACTCAACTTGTGTGCGGTGAGGTGCTTGCTCGGTCACCGCTACACAACACACAAACTCCTTGGGGTAGTGAATGTGAATGCGTTATCTCATTCGAGGAGAATCACCCTCAGCATACCGATAAAAGTAACCGCATTTTCTGACCATAAGGGTAGAAGTTGAATGAGAATGCCAGTCGTTCCAGTGGCTATTAGGCTGGGCGTCTGCTCACACACAGTAAAAATGGTTAATACTAAAACAAAGGAGATAATATAAGGATGGTTACAAAGTGGAACGAACTCACTAGAACACAGTGAAATTTGTCTATGTTCACATGTTTTGGTGTTGACGTTTGTATAAGGCTCCATCATACATGCAATGAATGGACGTCAACGGATACGCAGGATAAGCTACGTATAAACTCAAATGCCAACGTCACTGTTAAAACCACTTAATCTGTGAATAATTAATTTGTTACTATCACAAATTGAAAGGGCATAGAATTCGATCCACCTATTCGACGTATCTAAATCTTGCATTGGTGAGTATACCTAGAGTTTTCACTTTTTAATCACGGAATATGATCATTCTTTCTGTGCACTAAACTTCATTTACTTTCAGGCGGCATTTCAATATCGGTTTTGGATCGCGCCTTTTTCGAAAATTTTTAATAATGGGTTGTGTTGAAAGTAAAGAAAGACGAGCCGCTGAAGCTCGCTCACGAGATATTGATAAAACTTTGAGAGCTGATGGTGAGGCATCGGGCAGAGAAGCAAAACTCTTGCTTCTTGGAGCAGGGGAATCAGGGAAGAGCACCATTGTTAAGCAAATGAAGTATGTCGCAATGTTTTCTTATCCGCAGAATTATTCATATGTCGGGTTATTCTGAGGAAGAATGCAAGAAGTATAAGCCTGTTGTATTCAGCAATACTATACAAAGTATGGTCGCTATCCTGAGAGCAATGGAACAGTTACAGATAGGCTGTGCATGTCCAAACGCAGTGGTATTGATTTAGATATCTTGAAAACTGATATTTAGAATGATATTACTACTATTTTAAATCTTGCACGAACAGATATAGATGTCCTCCCTGATGAGGTATCCAGTGCCTTGAAGAGATTATGGTATGATCCGGGTGTTCAAGTAGCTGTGAGTAGATCGCGTGAATTTCAACTGAATGATTCTGCATCATAGTAAGACAATTTTTAACTTTGAGTTATACTAAAGTTTCCTTGATTCTTTGGATAGGTTGTCAAGTTCAGGATATATTCCTACACAGCAGGACGTTCTTCGTACAAGAGTTAGGACGGGTGGAATTGTAGAAACACACTTTTCTTTTAAAGGATTGGACATAAGGTAATGTCAGTAACAACAATCCTACTCTTCATTTTAGAATGTTTGATGTCGGAGGTCAGCGTTCTGAAAGAAAGAAGTGGATTCACTGTTTTGAAGGTGTAACAGCAATCATTTTTGTGGTTGCTATAAGTGAATACGATTTAACTCTTGCTGAGGACCAAGAAATGGTAAGTACTCTTAACGTTAGATTGTTAAAATCTTTTGACTCGTATGCAGTAATTTTTGTATTTCGTATGTAAGCCTTATAACCCTGTGAAAAAAACTGTATGGTACACCCTGTGTGTGCATGTATATTTACTTAGTTCCATTTGATGTTAGGTTGTGTACAAAACCTTCAAGGATGTTTAAAAATTCCCCCTAACACGATTAAATGTTCAGTTATCAAGCGATGTTTATCATACCAGGTAGATATCTTCAAGGGTAGAAACTGACTGATCACAGTGAAAATGTAAGTTTCTAGATACACTGTTGTCATAATCTACAGTAGTGGAGGTTCTTCTAACAAATATTTCTGTTATTAGGGAATGAAATGCTGAATGGTCATTAAAGTATTAAAGTATTCTGGTTTGTCTATTAATTATATCGCAGCATCATTGTTTCTTCGTGGTTACTTAGGTGACTGAGAAGCTTCAAAACATGGCTAGACACTAAACATTATGAGAAACACTCAGGTAACGGTTGTATGACTATCCTTAAAACTAATTAGTTGGATCGAAAGGGATTGATGTTGGCATTTTCGTTTGCTGGATTAGCAAATAATACTTGCAATAGGAATGAGTTGTCACCCTTTTTTCTATATCTACTAGTTGCACAACTAAGGTCAATTCAAGGATGTAATGTAGTTACCTAAATATAAATATAGGGAGTAGATTTCGTGCAATATATTACTCTGTATATAATATAGGTTTACTGTACAATATTAATGACAGAGATTAATTTGAAAGTGTGCAGCTGTAATTTGCTGTTGAAATGATCTCCGTGGACAAATATAATATGCATGTAGTGTTTCTGATTCATGATTAATTGTATGTTTATTTACTCATTTGCTTATATTACTAGTATGTTTGTACTGAGATGCCTGTGCTAATTGAAGAAGTTGTATGGTCATTGGTTCTTCAAGTATTCAGATAAATTTGCTCTGTGGTTTATTGCAAAAACTAGTTAATTCGTGTGTACTGATCTAGTAAAATAATCTCAGTAATGTCGTTTAGTATCTCTATACATGTCCACTTCAACATAGATTCCATAGATATAATACGAAGATAGCGATCAGTAGAGTGGTCGTAAAACAATTAATTCTAACAAACATAGTAGAGTATTAAACTGGAAATCCAACAAACTTTATGAATTCATATAATATGAGAGCTACTCTAACTAATAGTTCTGAAGTCACTTTTTGTTCATGGTTGCTGCTCTTTGCATTTATAAATAATTAGTAGTTATCCACTGTAAAACTAAAAGGATTATCAGTATCAGTAGGATATTGAGTTCTGTAACTATTGATCACATACCACTGCAACATTTTTAATAGTCTTAAGTGCTTGCCTGAAAGATTTTAGATGTTTTATGTTAATGATTATTTCCCCAAAAGGGATTATATCTTACTTCTATCGTGATCGTAATATGAAACGATGATATGTCAGTGAATACTCACAGCTAAGGTTATAGTTATTCCTGCATCTACTTATCAGCTAATAGGCTTTTACCACCAACCTAAATGTCATTCCCAATGTCCTTTATATATTATTCATTTTAACGTTTTCTCTTGCCTTTATTTTGTTCACATAGTCTGGTCATATTTTCATCTAGTGTTTTTCTTCACTAAATGTATCTCAGTTCGCTAGTTTATTTTGTTAATACACAACAATCACTTGAATTTCCATGTATTCTTCAGTGAGCCACACTTATTGTAGGTACTAGTGATACTAACTGATTGCTGAAAACTGAGTTTGAACGGGTGGCTTAGTGGTTGAAGGTTGAGTGCCTAGACTAACCCACTGGCATTTGCAAAAATTATACGATTCCCCCCCCCCAAAAAAAAATACACCTGAAGTGCCGTTAAAACAGTTTATAAGCATGATGAATTTACCCTACCATGGTTTAGCTCTGTGGTTAGTAATTATTCCAAAACCTTTGTATGCATAGCTAATAAAATATAGCGCGATAGATGTGTTTAAATTTATAGACAGAATTAAGGGTATTACCATTATAAATGAAACTATTATATTTTTTGGGCGTAGCATCTTTGTATACGTCAGACAGAAACGGTTAGTTACAATATGTGTACTGATAAATAATAAGTCAGTAAATACTGGGAAAACCCTAAAGAATTAATATTAAAGTGTAACATGAATGTTAATATTAAATTTGATGACGAAACTTACAGACATTTGAATGGAAGGGTGATAGGCTTCCCATTGGGTCCCACGTTAGATTTCAAAGTAAACTTGAAGATGGTCTTTTAAACTCTGTTATCAAGGGATTTTCTTTTACAAGTTTGACCACGGATTGATATCAGTTAGAGAACCACTGAAATCCAGGAAGTACTGGCCAACTGTTCTCTAACTGGTATTAATCCATGGTTAGACACGTGAAAACAAATCTAATCCTTACAAACCAACTCTTACAGATTCTTTTTCTGTTGCTGATATATGGATGGTACGTTCATCCTTTGTGTAATTAATTACACAGATGCTATCTAATTCCAAAGTCAAATTGCCTCCTTAAATGTCCCACTAACAAGAAAACCAGATGAAAGTATAAAAAGAAATTTGCATAAGAAAAGTATGCTGATAGTACGAAGTACACTTTCATAGCTTCGTTCTTCTACAATATAAAAGAAATTCGGTAAGGACTTTCAGCTGCAGAGTGGGAGCTACATTTTCAGAAAATGTGATTGAAGTCGAGCTTGAGATTGTAATGATACCTCAAGATAATCTAAAAAAACTTCTGTATAGTTGTAAACAAAAAGCGTCTGCATATGCGATTGCAGTTCAAAGGTGATATACCAAATGAATTAATAGTCAACAAGTTAAGAAAGTAGATTCAAAGATCTTCTATTGCAAATTACATTTTCCACATGACTGGTTATGATTCCAAAACTGAAAGACGAATTACCTATGCTAGGCACCTCTATTTTTATCTAACAGTTCATATGGTCCCGTGGAGCCAGTTGTATAGGCCGATGCTTTAGAAACTTAGTTTTTCGTGCTCGGGAACATTTACCAGTGTCTAAATATAGGTGTAGTAAAAACTTTCAACAGTCCTAAATTACATCACCTTGCCCTAAACAGTCCATATCATCTCTTGGGTACCGAACAAATAACTAAAATCCTATCGCTTAAAGCAGCCGGAGCTCTGAGTGCAAAAGTAACAGGTCCAGCCACTGTTGATATGCTTTTTTCTTTTTTTTTTTTCTTTTACTTCGGCTATCTCCTACGGGAGGATGAGCCGGCTTCATGAACGTCTCGAATCATCGCTGCCCAGGCGCGGCAATTTGTAAGAGAGTTCATGAAGTTTCATGGGAATTTGGTACGAGTGATGTCCCCAGCATCGCTCGGCCTTTTGTTTGAGAGTGCAGCTCTAGCCTTTACACAGCCAAGTGTGACCTACAAGGCAGTAGGAGTGGAGTAAGGAGTCCACTATCCATTGACAGCCGGTGACCGGAGTTCGGTTCATACGCCTTTTTGAATGGGGCCAGACATCCAGGACATCCAACAAGCCCTTTGTCCATACGTCTGCCGGTGAGCTCCAGTGAGCTTCATACGCCAGTCGTTGGAGGTTTGGAATCAGGGTTTAGCCATCTCCCCTAGACCGTCATCCAATGGACAGTCAACCCGGTGGAGAGCGCCGGGCATCCGCTTTCGCCCTCTCACTTTGGTGAGAAACACCTCCGCCACGTGAAGGCAGTGAGTAGGACTTCCTCAGGAGAGGCTATGTAAGACGCCCGGTCATATGGGAGCATTTCAAGAGGTGTGCGGAGGGGTGGCCAACCCGCAGCGCAAGGCACCCACCCCCGACCATCCTGAGGCTTTGGATATCCAACTTTGATATGCTGGCCTACAATGGGATCTATAAATTATATTATTTTCTTAACTTATCTGATATTCTGTTTAGTGCTTTATTGATTCATATTACCACGTATAAATGCTTTCGAAATGTGATCTGTTAACATCGATTGATTTAATGTTATTTAAAAGTTTAACATTGTTAATAGGAATAATTCTTCTTTTACTATGGATATATAAATGTAGAACCTGATGAAGAAGATATTGAAAAAAATATTCCCTGTCCACCAATAGATCTTCAAATAAAATAATGCTGTCAATGATAGTAAAATTAGGAGGGTGAGAAATTGTAGTCGCAGGTTTGTTTATCAAGTCTATCGTTTTTAAGAAACAGATGCACTGGCAAAGTATGCAGATAAATTAAATTCTCACTATTCTTCATGTAATTGTTCTATATTCCGTTTATCACAGTCTATCATTTTTGCCACCTTTATGTGTTCTTAATGAGCTGTGGTAGCTTGAGCTACTACTGCAGTTAAGTACAAAGTTCTGCGTTGAAAATTTAGTTCAATTTATGCAGAAAACCGTAATCGGAAACTTGGAAATAAAGAAGTTTTTCATACAACTTTGATTCGCTAAAGGCATAGTTAGTGAAGTTCTACACCAGTGTGTTTTGGAATGTTTAAAAAGCCAGCTTATACTTAGCATTTCCTAATCTAACTGCCTAGCACTTTTGAAGTGCAATAAAATCAATAACCATTTCAACTCTGTGACCATCACACACTAAACATGATCAATATGAAGTTAATATATCTCATTCCACTTGACCTTTTGAGTGAAATTTTAATTGTGGGGATTAAAAAACAGTGCTAACATTTTTACTGCTTTTTTCTTTTCTGGTTAGCTAATTGCCACTTTTCCTGTTGTTATTATTATTAACGATATTACTTATCAGTACTTCGGGCTCTCAGCGGAACATGGATTTAGCAGCACATCTCCATTTCACTCATTTTTAGCCGGCTCGATGATTTCCCATAAGCTCCCATATTCTCATACTACCTCCTCCGTGTTACACTGGGAATAATGTCTGACTAGTCTCTTTGTGTTCGGGTTCCACTCTAGGGCATATCTCTTATATTTACTTGGTCAGATTTTCATTTGGTTTTATCCTCAGGATTAATCAACTTCCAGTGTTTTTCGTAATTTTGATCCTACTTGATGGTTACATTGTCATGAATACTGAACAAAGTAGAGTTTTGCATAAAAATTTCATATTAAGTGGCCAAGCTTTGGAAATGTATATGTCACCATTTTCTGCCCATAATTTTTATCTCTCCTTGTTCCAGCTGTTCATGTTTCTTTCTCATGTTGATATACGAAAAGGCTGACTGTGTTTGATCATAGATGTTTGCTTTCCATCTCCCTTTTTTAAGTGGTAGAACATAGTGAAGTTAGGCGTAAAGTATTAGGTATAGAGAGTAAGTCAGTCGATGTGGTTGTGAAATTATATCGACTGAGATGACTGAAACACAAACTGCACATATTGAGTCATTGTCTTTCTCTGTGAACAGTGTTAGCTGACGTAGAACCAGGTTTTGAAAGAGTTAAGTATTGTCCAATGAAAATCTGGCATCGATCCGTGAAATCTTTGATAATTAGTTTTAGCCCGCCACGTAGGGAGATGTAAAATGCCTTTTTGGGGGCCTCGCGATGCCGGGAACCGATGACAGAAGACTATCGGTGATACGGTTCAGCGGTGCAGATACATCTACTCTTTGTACTTTCCCTCATTTCTCTCTCTCTGTCTGTCTGTCTGTCTGTTTTCGACATAGAACTTTGCACAAATGTGCGGAAGTTCAAGTCGCCACATTCCGTGTAGCACGCGAAGCAAGAGAAGAAAGTACAAGAAAAGCATAATAGAAACAGTGAGCAGAGGTGTGAGACAAAGGAGTAATAAAGAAATACAAAACAGTTTCATTGAAGATCATAAGTCACAGGGAGTGGATGCATCTGCGCCACTGAGAACGGTTTTGAGCCATGTCACCAATTGTTTCCAACCATAGATTTTTACCGTTCCGAGGACCCCAGCCTGGAAGTCTACACCTTTCTACGTGGCTTAGACCAACTGTTGTGGATTTCATTGACTGGTGCCAAGTTTTTGTTTGACCGCCGCTAGCTTTTTTCCAGCCTGACCCTATATCCGCTAACATTGCTCGTCGAGGGAGCATTTCTGTTTATTATGATTCTTTTGAATATCGTTTTTTCTCTCTACCCTATCTTTGTGTGCTGAATGGAGTGTAACAGCTTAAACTGCTGCTATTCTGTGCAAAGTTCTCTGTTGAAACACAGTCTATCAATCTAAGAAACGATTTTAAAGTGGGCAAACATGAAAGTGAGCATAAATAATAAGCTTTGCGTTATTCTAGGGGATTTTAAGCCGCCTCATAACATATTTCTGACTGTATCTTCGTAGCTGCTCACGCATGTCGGTAAAGCAAACTATATTTTCCCTATTAATATTAAAAACTTCATGGACAGATGCTTTATGTACTGAACTTCACGGATGTAAAATTTCACTTTGCTGTTCTAACTGCGAGTCTGATTGTTCAGCAACAATAGTTGAGCGTATGTACACTTATTCTGTTTACTAGAAGGTAATTTTGTTTGTTCTTCCCAGCTTTTTAATAATTTGTCCTGGCTGCAGACTCCAAAAATTCCTTGTAAACACCTAAATTAAAGATCGTTTCAAGTTCAGATTTTTAGCCGTACCTCTGGCGAAGGTCGCCGCTGTTATAGAAATATCATCGTTCCCTTAGGTCAGTGTTTGTCAATTACTTTTTATGGTACTCATCAAGGACGTGAATTTTTCACACTTCTTACCCGCATACACACACACGTTGCCTTGAGACTGGTGATGTTACCACAGGAATATGGTTGACTGACTGCAGCAGTTGATTCCCACAATCTAGGCAACTGATGAGTCTTATCAACCACCATACTATAATTATGTCTCATAACTCTTTGAAGACGACTGGATTTTAAGCGACTAACTGAGGCAGTGTTATTGAGATCCCGATCTTTAGTACCAGCCATGCTTGATTAATCTGTCTTGTCTTTACATTTCAGAATCGAATGATGGAATCAATGAGGCTTTTTAGTTCAATATGCAACAACCAGTGGTTCACAGAAACAAGCATCATTCTGTTTTTGAATAAGCGAGATTTATTTGAAGATAAAATTATGAAATCTCCATTAACTATATGTTTTCCTGATTACACTGGTAAGTATGATAATTTCATCTTTATCATTTAAATTATACCGTATATACTATTTGGTGTTCGTAAATTTTTTCCATAATACCTTTTCTTACTTTACTATTTTGTGCGTTTACAACCTACTATTAAGACAAATAAAGTGTGAACCTGAAGACACTTACAGCTATTAACAACTTTTCTACAAGTAGAACATGTCTTATGTTTATCATTGCTGCTGCTCTCTGTCAACGCGTGCTCACATTTATAGGCATCAGATTGTCTTGGTGTTACACATAGGAGAAATCTAATCAAAAGCTTCTAAGTAGTTCATACATTTATTCCCTTTCATGACATTGTATAAAGTAAAAACAACGGTTTATTCAGAATAAGATAGTACCCGCATTTATTCAGTTGACTTCTCATCATTTGCGTACAGCTTCATGAAATTATCAAGTTCATGCATAGAACAATTTTACCATACTTGAAAATGATTCATGATGTCTAAAATCCACGAACAATTGCGGAATATGTGAAACTTTAAATCTCAAAAAAATCACCGTGGAAAAGAAGTCTATCGTCATTCAACTTGATTTTAAAGGTAAAACTGTTGCAGAAATAGTCAGCACAAGATTGCACACCTCGCTAGTCAGAACTTATCCTCTGATCAAGTTGTTTTCTGCTTATCGGACAACATGTTCTTTGGTGAAATCAAAATTCGACAGACACCCTTCTCATGTGAACTCTAACTTTGTATAGGAATTTGCGTGCATCTAGTGCAGGAGTTAAATTGGGAGAACAAAAAGAATAGTTTACCTTCAATTTTCCGAAAATGTAATAAAAAGCCTACGTTTCGAAGGAACAGACACTTTCAGTGGTGGCATGTACAGGAATCTCATCGATGCAGGTCATATGGTGGTCATCCTGAAGTCCCTTTCAATGATCAGTGGACGAAATATTTCAATTATGTTGAAGTTTGCCAGAGCAATTACTATCAAACGCCTCAGACCCGTGTTCAGAAAGAAACAGTTGTCAGTCTCTCCTGGACCTAGTAGTCGGATACTGTCATTTTATTTGGTCACATAATTTTTGGTTTTAGTGTGTTCGCCTTCGCAATGATGTAATCTTGCAAGTCCTTTGTTCTTATGATTTCAGTTGATCTCACCATACTGTCACTTGACTTATTCATTACTCATTATCATAATCCTCATCTTATCTGCCACCTGTCTTTATTATGTTACTCCTTTCTCATTGTATTCAAGCATTTATTTTTCGTTTAAATTCGAACCTTCTGTAATTTCTGCTCACGTTTCGCTGCCTTTGTAGTCTCCTGTCAACTGTTATCATCTAGCATATTCAAGTGTGTTAAAATTGTTCTGTACATAGACCTACTATTCTCTTCAGTTTGTACGCAGCTGAAGAGCAGCTGACTAGATAAAGGTTGATACCATCTTATTTTTCACAAAACGTTGTTTCTACCTTATTCAAGGTTCTGGATAGTTCATCACGTAGATAGGGTAAGAAAATGTGGTATTTTTGTTGCATGCTCGAGATGTGTAGTAGTAAAATTGACTTAACTTATCGCACAAGAGTGTTGCAGTCATTATAGGAACTTGTACATTGTTGGTTCCTGAAAAATACTGAGGAGTGAATGAATCTGTAGAGTCGTGAAAGTTTCATCCATGTACAAATCTCTGCTTATTGACTCTTAACATGCTAAGTACTTCAACAAACATACTACGCCGTCTTGCGTAGATATATCCACAAATCTGCGGTTTTTGAATCGGGGTCTTAGTTCGATCTGATCGCTGCGAACGCTAATCCAAAATAGTAGTCCTTTTAGCTGGCATTGAGTGTCAAGAAAGTATTAAATGGTGGCTCGACACTCTTGACCCATGTCTTGGCAATCCTACTTTATAGGGCTTTTGTGGTCTCATTGGTTGACTTTACCACCTTAACTGACACTAAGCCCAACTTCATTATTATTGTTAAGCATGGTACTCTCTATAACTAGAGAGATTGGACAGAAGTACGTATTATCAGAAAACCGCTATTACTTTCATGTCTTCTAACTTCAACACCCATGTCTCATAGCCGTGAATTAGGACGATGAGAAGTTATGCGAAATACACATTCTTAGTTGGATAGTCGAATTATATGTCTGCGCCAAAGATGACGTCATGTGGCAGATGCCGAACAGACTTCTTATGCCTGTTGAGATTTCTGTAATTACCTATCCATTAGGGATGATCCAGCAACCAAACAAGTGAATTTGTCAACACAATCATTTTACCTTTAGCCTTTAAACTGATAACTGGGTGTGTAATAAAACGGTGGGTAGGGAGGGGGGAGGGGGTATCCTATGAGCTGAAGACACTTCCCCGGAAATAAATTCACATGTTACAGTTGCTAATGACAAGGCTACTTTAATTAGTCTCATGCTTATTAAGCATTCTAAACAAGCTGTAGTAATTTATTGTAATCGTAGTTTTAATATTTCAAGATGACCGAATTACAAGAATCTAAACAAAACACAGAGGGCAGAATTCAGGAATTTGTATTTAGCGGAATTATTATGCAATTCATATAAGAAATATATTAACAATCAACAGTAAGTATTTAAAGAATACAGAGCTAGAAATTGTCAATTACCACATCCGCCACACGTCGAATGTCTCCTTGCGTACTTATAACGATGTCTCGGTTTGCTTGCAAGTAGCTGCGACCTAACTGATTCTGTGATATTATTTTCATCAGTATTATCTGGACCTATTTCTGAATTATCTACAAAATCAGGATTATTAGCGGAATCACTAAAATAATAATTGGAACGACCTACTTCATTTATTGTCACTTTGTCCAGGTGTCTGTTATGAACTGAGTGATCTTTGATGTCTAATATCTTCACCACTCGATTTCCCATTTTTTGTAGTATAATTCCAACAGAAGGTCTATAGTCATTCGCTTTGTAATAATGTACATTAGAAGTCGTGGACATCAGATGCTTTTTGAGAATTCGAGATTTGAAAAGTTTTGCAGGACTTTCACGGGTACTTGTATGCTCTGCATTCAACAAACGCAGTCTATGCATATGCAGCAATTCCTCCATTTTAATCAGTTGCTCTCTCATCTCATTCAGTTTTTTCGTGTTTTCGACAGTTCGCATTGTAACTCAGCTACCTCATTTTTGAAAACAGTTGACGCTTGAGTTGCTGAACTTGTAGTGGAGGTTTTCATTGGATGAGATTGAGTATTTTGAAAAGTTGAAAGACACATTGACTCCATTTTACTAGACAGATTGGGAGAATTATAAGAATGTTGAGCAACATAAGTATTCGAACTTCTGCAAACAGTCTTGATGTGTCCAACTTTACCACATTTATGGCACTTAGCACCCCGAAAACGGCAAGTGCTTCGTAGATGTAACTTTCCACAGGAAAAACACGGTTTAATGTTTTTGATCTCTGGCTGCATTCTATTACCTGTGGACGACAGTTTGGATTGCTTTCCATGACCACTTGTATTTTCGACTTTAGAAAGCATAACATCAGATACTGACGTAGTGGGAGCAGAGTATTCATTATTGACATCTTCATATGTAATACATAAATCTTTAGCAGTTTGAAAGGTACAAGAAGGAATCTGAATTAACTCTTTCTCTAACTTAGGAATATTGATTCCAGCAATTAGACGATCACGTAGTTGAGTATGCAGCTGATCTCCAAAGTTACACTTTGAAGCTTGTATTTGGAGTTGCAGAATAAAGTCTCTAATCCTCTGGTTGGGAGCACGAACCAGTTTATGGAATTGAGCCCTCTCTCTGGTCTCAAATGTAGTTACATGAAAGTGATTTATCAGAAGTTCACGAATCTTGACATATGACAGAGAAATAGGTTGATCTGGAAACGACAGAGTCTTTACTAGGCTATACGCATCTAGCCCAATAGCAGTGATGAAATGTGCTGGTATTTTGTCATCGCGAACATTCTTTGAAATGCACCACGCATCGAAGCATTCAAGGTAATCAGCAATCTCCCGCGGAGAACCATTTATAGGAAATTTTCCAAAGTTATTTAGTTCCATCGCGACGCCAATTTGTTGTAATTATTTGTAATCATAGTATTAGTATTTCGACATGACCGAATTACAAGAATCCAAACAAAACACAGAGAGGGCAGAATTCAGGAATTTGTATTTAGCGAAATTATTATGCAGTTCATATAAGAAATATACTAACAATCAACAGTAAGTATTTAAACAATACAGAGCTAGAAATTGTCAATCACCACACAAGCACTCAATATGTGAACATTGTTCACACTTGGTTGTCATTTCGCCATCTTTCTCATGCTATGCCACCTGGTAACAAAGTGAAGTTTAACAATGCGATCGACCTGAAACGTCGAAAATTTTTGTAAGCGAATGTCGTCACTCAAATCTCTCTTGATATAAGCATTATTCTGAATTATGGCTTAAATCAAAATTCTGTAGTAACGAGTTTTATTTGTTTCCAGAAAGTGTAACTGGAAAGGAAAGGACCTAATCCTTCCATTTGTTTTGAGCCTATAAATTTACTTTGTTCTAACAATTAGAAACACACAACAGACACGAGATCAGCTTTTACCCTGAGTATGTACCTAGATTGATAGTCCTTTTACATCCTACCGTATATCTGGTGTACTGAATACCAAGATTCAATGTGTGTAGACTTGGTGACGGAACTAAAAATTGTTTATAATACCGTAGATGTCTACGCTGCTTATTAGTTACCGATTTTGACTTTTTTTCTGATGTATTTGTGTCTGTCTACTAGTTTTATTTCATTGCGTTTCTGCCTCTTTCATTTCACTTGTGCCTTTTTGATGGGTGTTAACTTGAACCGATGCGCATTGCTTCAGCAAACATTGAAATACATTAGAATTTAATCTCAAAACTAAGTGCGTGACAGTCATCTGTTCATACCAGAACAGGAAACTACGAGATAGTAGGTGAAATATATTGTTTATCGTGAGCTGCATTTTCAAGAATAATACTAAATTACGTTTCTGAGGGTGTTTTTTCCGAATGACTGACCTACTGATAAGTTACTAAACAGGATTCGTATAAACTAGGCTATGAGCCACACTTAATGTATCATGACTGTTGATACTGGCCAGTTGCGCAGGTTGAAGTAGATAATGGATTGAGAGTACAACTCGGAATCCATCTGTTAAAAGACAATTGCTTAAGCCAACGAACTGCATCTCAAGTCCAACGGAAATTCATCCGTTATCTTCTTTTAATAGTCAATATCAATTTCTTAGCGATTCCTTAAAGTCATTGCCTTTAGACATTATAACCCGTGATAGCATTTAGAACTGTCATCTAGTATGAATACTCTCACTGTCATTAAAAAGAATCCATTACCACAACACTAACCAACAAATTTAGTTAACTGCTTTTAAATTGAGTTACTTGCTCATGTATTACATTAGGAATTTGAATATGAACCATAATTGGTGTTCTTAAGAGCTAATGTGATTAAGTGTCAGTGCATATTGACTTCAACTAAATGAACTGCGTCATTCTCATACTGAATCATAAGGAAAAAATAGACGTAAAAAGCGAATTAAATTTTCTTTACGATAAGTCATTTTCAAGAGCTATAAAATCGTATTTATATCTAACAAACAACTCATGAAACCAATCAGAGATTGTGAAAGAATAACAATAGTTAACCCAAATAATAAAGTGAAGCAAAATTATGGTAAGAGCGTCACTCTGACCATTTTAAGGTTAGTGAATGTATACACAAACACCACCATCTTTCCATTGGGTTTTGTCTATTCACATTAATGAGTCATTTCTCATACTTATTATGTCATTTCAACTTCTACCCTGTTTTCTCATCTCCACTTAGTCATCCTCCCCAAGGTTACACCTCACATTATGTAATACATTTTCTAAACTTAAGTTGCCACTATCTGACTTATTTTTGGGAATTCTTTGTTAAATATAAATACGACTGTCCAGCTCTTGAAAATGATTTATCGAAAAGAAAATTTACCTCTCTCTTCACGTTTTTTTTCTTATAACTCAGTACGACAATTACACGTTCATTTTGTTGCACTCAGTTTTCATTGACACAATCATTAACTTCTAAGTTGTGTGATTTTCTTTCCTTTCATGGCTAACTTCACAGTGAGTACAAAGAGAACGCATTTAAGTTGTTATTGATAATTCTGAAATGCTTTCTGTTATTTCAACACTTTCTCTTCTGAGCACGAGAGTGTATCTTTGTGGAAATATATAGCTAACAGTGACATAGCTATTTTTCTTTACATCAACATATTTGTTTCCAAGTGGAAATACACTTGGTGACCATTAAGTTATTCAGATATCAATTATGTTGAGTAATTTTGCTGAACGAGTCAGGAAAATCATACAACCCAATAACTCAACACATGAAAATACTGACCAGTCACCTTTCTTATTCTTTATGCCACTAAAAAAGCGACACCGAAGTATAAAAACAAGTGCTTGGGAATGTATTTTGTAGGTGCACTTATCAAACCATTTTGATAGTCGTCATGTTTCTGTTTTCTCTTTTCAAACTTAAGATGTTGTTCTCTAATTCACACATGTGTTTTAGTGTTTATTTCGTAACTAGTTTGTGTTTTAATTGAAATAAATAAATAGTAACATGCGGTTCACAATCTCTATTGCCTTATTGCTTGACATACGTGTTACGCATCCACGATAAGTATTGTGGAGAAGTAAGAAACTGCTAAAATAAACCATGAAGTTAGAAGTTTTCGGTTGAAGCCATTAACAAGGGTTGTCGATCGGCAGACTGAAGTCAGTAGTCAGGTACTCTTAGTGACAAGAGTTGATATCAGTTCGAGAAAGCACAAATTCTCTCCTCTTCAAGAATCTCTGAACAGGGTTTATTCATTTATCTCTGTATCATCTTTATCAGTTGTATAGACATTTCTGTATCCTCTACGTTTTGTGCACAGGTCATTATTTTTCCTGTCACTCTGGTTTTTTTTGTAAACTAGTTCATATGTCTCCTAATGGACTCATCTTTACATCGCCCCTGGAAAATGTAAGATGCTGCTACAGGACTGGACTACGTCAACTCCTAGCTTAGTGATAGGGAGTGAAGTGATAGAACATGTTGACCGCTTCACCTATTTGGGAAGTTGTATTAGCACCAACGGACTGATTGGCGACGAAATCTCATCAAGGATCCAAAAAGCTCGAGCTGCTTTCGCTGACTTACACCACCTCTGGCGTAGGCGTGACATCCAGCTGGCTATCAACCGAAGGACGTGTGTACTGCCCAGCAGTTCGCTCCGTCCTTCTCTATGGCTCTGAAACATGGCCAATACGCGTTGAAGACATGAAAAGGTTGACTGCTTTCGATCATAGATGTCTGCGATCTCTGTCTCACGTTAGGTGGTTTAATTAATAAGGTAAGTAATGTTGACGTTAGGATGCGTAGAGTGTTGGGCAAAGAGGGAAAATGAATCGACGAGGCTATAAAGTTACATAGATTGAGATGGCTAGGTCACGTGTTGTACATAACTAACCATCGCCTCCCCTAACGGGCATTACTAGCTGATATAGGTGCAGGTTGGAAAAGAGTAAGTGGTGGCCAAACAAAAACATGGCATCCATCCATGAAATCCTTGACAGTTAAATTGAGTAAGGTAGGGAGATGCAGACTTCCTGGTTGGGGCCTTCGGGACTCTAGGAATCAATATCTGGAGAGAATAGGTGACATGGCTCAAAATCGTTGTCAATGGCCAGCGCAGATGTATTCAGTCTCTGTGATCTTTCATATTCCTTTCTACCATTACCCATTGTGTTTCACTCTTCTTGTCTACCTCTGTGTGCTATTTGGAACGTGGCAACTCGAACTGCTGCACTTCGGTGACAAGTTCTGTATTGAATCCAGACAGACA